TGATTAAATAAAACAAATACATCACCTTATTTCCATTCATTCTTGTACTTGCTGCTTTTTGCCAGAGTTGGTCTGGTTGGAAGAGAAAGTGATACACACCTCAGTACAGCCAAAATAAAAATTTAAATACAACAATAAAATCTTCTAATTTCCCCATGATTTTTCAGTTTTTATTCTTGCATAGACTTTATAGATCTGTTAAGCAAACAGGACATTTAGGCTGTACTTAGGTCTGGTAAGGAGCGACCATTAGACTTAGAGAGGCTACAGGGAAGTTCCTTTCACAGTGAAGTTTTTGTCATGATGTTGGGATATGTTCTTGATTCAATACATAACTTCCTGTGAATTTGTACATGCAAGAGGAAAAATAAGGAACTGTGTTGTAATGTGCTATAATAGCTGTCTTATACTGCATCTGTTTTTGTTGGTTCTAGGGTGACTACGTGCACAAGTCTGTGTTTATTATTTTTTTCCAAGGTGATCAACTAAAAAATAGAGTCAAGAAAATCTGTGAAGGGTAAGCAGAAATCAGATTTCAAAACAGCTGGTGCTCGATTTTTTTTCTCAGTACTTCTGAAAACTGTCACTCATATTTCTAATGCATCTTGAAATACAAATGGAGTGTCATAATATGCACATTAATAGTTCCTAACATTTGTATTAATCAGAAAATCTATGATGCTGCTGCAAAAAATAGCATAATAGAAATCCTTAGTTGACCGTGACAAAGTAAGCCTAACAAACATCACATGGTATGTGTTACTGATGTGTAGTGGACAACCAAATTAGCCACCCTCCAGTTTTTAATCCTTAAAGTGGATGAATTGCTTTTGCTGGTACAGAAACACATCTGAAAGCAATCCAGCTATCACATACTGACATTCGCTCCCACACATTCTTCTCATTAGAAACATGACACATTTTCTGCTTGTGGAGACCAGTGCTTCTGAATGGTAGCTATGTTGGTGTAATGTCTCTCATTTTAAGCACCACTGGTTATTAGTTGAAGATGCTGTTACGACTTGTGGTGTTGCCTAACCTCTCAGCATATTTTTTCTTGGTTTTGTTGTTTCTCTCTTGCTCAGAATGAATCTTACACCTGCAAAATGCACTATGTTAATGTCAAGGGCTGGACTTTGATAAAATCCCACTAAAGCCCATAATCCTAAAAGGCTCTTTTACAAAGCATTGTGTCAGTTTGGCTTTTCATCTGAAACCATTCAGGTGAACTAATTCCCTGTGCTTCATCAATATCTGTTTTCCACTGAGGAGCTTTGCATCTCCTTTAGGTTCCGTGCTTCCCTCTACCCCTGCCCGGAGACCCCGCAGGAGAGGAAAGAAATGGCTTCTGGAGTCAATACCAGGATTGATGATCTTCAAATGGTAACCATGCAGAACAAATGGCGTCGTAGCTGCTTTAGCCTACATAAGAGCAGTCATACTGGGTTAGACCAAAGGTCTATCTAACCCAGTGTCTTGCCTTCCCAGAGCAGCCAGTGCCAGGCATCCCAGAGGGAATGGCCAGAACAGGGAATTCTCAACTCCTCCATCCCCTGTTGCCCATTCCCAGCTTCTGGCAAACAGAGGCTAGGGACGCCAAATGTGGGGTGGCTTACATGAACTTAAGGCTGGATTTGCCAAGACGAATTGGCCAAGCTTAGATAGTTTGCAGCTAAATGAGGCAGAGAAGCTGCTGTGACATTAAACAGTTTTGACATTGCAAGATCAGAGAACAGTTTTCTTCCTCTACTTAGTTCCGTTCAGCTGCATTGTTAGGGAGGTTCAGTTTTTCCAGGAGGCTGAGTGAACAAATCTGTACATACTGGCCTTGGTAGTGAAATTCATACTATCAGGCAAGGGGTGAATATGCACCGAGAGTAAGAGAGGAGTGCATCTTCAAAGCTAGAAGTGTGATGCTATGAAGGGTCTGGTAGATGATGATGGTCAAATCTGTGTTCACAGTTTGATTAACGAGCTGGCATTAGTTCATTTTCTGCCTGTCTGTGTGCTTTGGTGGTGTGCTGGAGTATTAAAACCTGATCTCTCTTGCACTGCAGCTCTGGGTCAGTGCAAGCAATGATTGAATACATGGTGAGCAAAGAGCTGAATTGCAACCTGTGAAGGTGCTAACTCTGTCCCAGCTAAATCCAGGGGGAGGGAAGCAAGATGCATTGCAGGAAGGCTGACAAGGATTGATTGGGTGGAGAGATGTATGGAAATAAAATGTCAGGCGAGGAATCAGCTGCAAATGCTGCAATGGAAGGCACTGAATGCAGGGCATTGTTTTAATATAGATGCCAACTCTCCAGCATGAAGGTGCTTAGAGCAATTGCTTAGCAATCAAAGAAGGGGATCCGGGCCGGGGGGGGGGGGGTGGTACCTACAGTGCAGAGACAGAGCAAGTGGCAGGCAGGGAGCCTACCTCAGCCCCGCTGCACTGCCACCTGAGGTAAGCGCCACTTGGTTGGAGCTGGCATCCCAACTCCCCTGCACTCCAATTCACTGCTTGAGATTGGAGCCCCTTCCTGCACCCATACTCCTTCCTGGAGCTTACACCTTGAGCCTCCTCCCACACCCCAGCCTCCTGTCTTATCTCTGCCCCAGTTGGAGCCTGTATCCCCTACCCAACTCCCAACCCTGAACCCTCTCTGGGACCCCAAACCCCTCATCCCCAGCCAGAGCCCGCACCTCCTTGCAGACCTCATCCCACTGCCCGTGCCCAGAATCCCCTCCTACACATTGAACTCCTAATTTCTGGCCCCATTCTGGAACCCAGAGGGAGCCCAGAGTCTCTGTGCCCCTCTCCCTTGCTTCCTGCCTCCCCACTGCAGGGCTGGGTGTGGCCCTTGACCGATATCTTTCTGTGGGTTTGTGGCCGCAATAGAGAGAAGGTTCCCCACCCTGCTGTAGAGTGAGGAGACTAAAGTGCAAGTTCCAAAGATGCAGCAGTGAAGGGGCATTGGGCTCTTACCTGCTTAATCAGGCCTGTCCATGTGCTCCTGCCCCTAGCCGCTACTGTCTTGTGCCCCCCCAGCATAATACCAATTGCAATGGAATACCACGCTGCTGTCTGTCCCGCTTTTCCATGCAAGGTGCTGAACCAAACAGAGGATCATCGCCAGAGGGTCCTGCAGGCCGCTGCTAAAAATATCCGCGTCTGGTTCATCAAAGTGCGGAAGATGAAGGCCATCTACCATACCCTGAACCTGTGCAACATCGATGTGACCCAGAAGTGTTTGATTGCTGAGGTCTGGTGCCCCGTGACTGACCTCGATTCCATCCAGTTTGCTCTCCGAAGGGGCACTGTGAGTATCTCCTCGCGCTGGAACTGCAGCTGTTGTCGTTCACCCTTGCCTCCCGCACAAGTCTCAGTGGGCTGACCCCTGACTAATCATTGTGCTGGAGGAGCCAGGATGGACTGTGATGTTTGAAAGGCATTTCTTAGGCCAGGATGGGCAATAATTTTTGGCGGGGAGGGGAGGGGGCACTTCAGAAATCTTTGAAGTAGCCCTGGGCCACCCCGGAAGGGTCAGGGCCTAAAACAGAAGGGGCGGGGCCAGGATGTTTTCGGGCTTCCCCACCCACAGACCATGATTGTTCTGGGGGGTGGGGGAGCCCCTTTGCCCTGCCCCTTCCCACTAAGCACCCAGGCCCTTAGCAGGGTGGGAAGAGGCCAATTAGGGCTTGAGGAGCCTGGGAGTGTGTTGAAGTTTCCTCCTGCCCTGCTAGGAGCGTGCAGCACTTCAAAGTGTGATGTGCTTCTGGCAGGGCAGAGGAAACTTTGTGCACTTCTCCCTCCCCCAGGCTCTAATTGGCCTTGGGGCAGGGGAGCAGCAGGGCCTCCGCAGGCCAGGTCACCCCGCTTGGGCCACATCTGGCCCGCAGAGGCCCTTTTGCCCACCCCTGTCTTAGGCTGTGCCTAAAAATGGTGACCACCTTAGAGGACACTTTTTACTTATTTAATCTGTAACACTACAGTTACCAGAGATGTGCATGTAGTGAGCTCCATGGGGCTGGAGCAGCTCTGTGCCTAGGACAGGCAGGGAGCTGCTCCAGCCCTTGCAGTTAACCGGAAGGGGTAAGCGTTACTTGTTTAGGGTGAGACTAACCGGTTAACCTTTCACATCCCTCGAGGTAACTTGTCCAGAACAATAGCTGCACTTTTTCCTGGGATTTGGCAAGTCTGCTGAGCTGCTTGCAGCTTGGGTTGCCTCTGCTCATTGGACTGTGGGGATTAAAGCTCTGCAAGTTGGCAAGCCCAGCCAATGAGCACGCCCACCAGCTGGTCTCCAGAAATGCTTGGCTGCTAGGATCTGGGACGGCAGACACGGCTCTCCTCAGAGATTCAAAATGTGCCATTGAGACACAATTCCTGTTGTCAGTGTTTTAATGAAACCTCCCTTCCCCATCGGCTGCTGAGCTCCTTGGTGATCTATAGGACTTCCCCTCCTGCAAAATTCCAACATGCTTTTGGGCCCTGAACTTCTTGAGGATTAGGCCCTGGATGATTCTTGCCAGTTCCCTGCAGTTTTCCTGATGCCAACAAGGGGCAAACCTGCCTTTCTGTATCCTGCTGGTCTAGGGAATGAAGCGTTTCTAACCCCAGTTTGTCTGTTTTTAAAACAGGAGCACAGCGGGTCCACTGTTCCATCCATTCTGAACAGGATGCAAACCAATCAGACCCCGCCAACTTACAACAAAACCAACAAGTTCACTTCTGGCTTTCAGAATATAGTAGACGCCTATGGCATTGGAACCTACCGAGAGATAAATCCAGGTAACCACACAACCTGTCTGTTTGTTCCTTTGAGCTGCTGAGTAAATGGCCTTGCTCTCTTAATGTTCATAGTCCTTGCACAAGATTGACCCAGCTATCTGAGCAAGTGTATTCTGCTGTTACTGTGAATTGTAAGAGACATTATTGCTATCTGACTTTGGAAATATGTAGGCTAATGGGTGGAAATATGTAGGCTAATGGGTATGTTAAGTCCTTGGCACCTTCCTTGCAAATAACAGGTACTTTGCATGAATAATCAGGATCTTAGCCCAAAAGGGCTGAAGAGGAAAGTAGGACCTGCATTTCATTGCTCAAGAAATTATATCTGACCCTTTGACTTATTAGCATACACTCTGGTTACATTATGTTCATGTTTTACTATTTTTTTAGATCTACTTAGATCAGTTGTAATAACCCCTAAGTAGTATGAAATTCTTTCTTGTGCTTAAATTCCCCCCTAAAATTACTACCTGCTTAACTGTAAAGTTTCCCAAAGTTCTTCATGCATAGAGCCCTGCATGAAGACGAAACTTATATTTGTTTCTGCATCTGTATCCGCAAAAATGAGCCGCAGATATCCATATCCATATCCACTGATGTGGATATTTGCTGGGCTGTAGTCACGCTGACCAGTTGGCCTTAGCTGACTCCTGTGCAGTTACTGTGTGTCTTTATAGGAAGTGTGAATTGTAGGAACCTTTAGCTTTGCAAATGTTGATGGTTATGCTGCACCACTTCCCTTTGCAGCATGTTGCAAGTGGTGTTGGGTAAGGGGAGTGTGATCTTTCATAAAGTCTTCAGATAATGTCTTGATGGCAAATCGGTGTCTGTTGACTGAGGGACAATGTTTTAGGAGATGCAGAATCTACCCTGTTCTATTTAAAGTTGTCTTTAAGGATAAACTCTCATCTGCAAAGAGCTATTTTCTGGATACTGAACCAAAGAAGGGTGATTTCAAAGCAAGAAGGGCTTCCCATCAGTTGTAAAATGCATTTCTTGGAGTGGTAAACGCAGAAGTGCTCCGAGAGATCAGTCTTATCAAAAAACATTGCATGCTATGGAATGAATAGCATCACTTCTCCCTTTGAGCTGTGATTTTCAAGCTAAATTGTCCTGATGGTCGTCGGCTTTATGCAGGTAGGTCCTTTTACAAGAGAACTGGGCCATAAAATGTCAACTCAAGGCAGGTGTGGATTTAGTGGATCAGAATATAATAGCAGCTGGTCATAAGATATAGAATCCTAGGACTGAAAGGACCTCCGGAGGTCATCTAGTCCAGTCCCCTGTTCTCAAGGAGGGACTAAGCATTATCTAGACCAGGGCTATTCAACACGTGGCCTGTGGGCCACATGAGACCTGCGGGTGGGAGCCAAAACAAAAAAGTAGTCAATATAATGCTCTTCTGTTGAGATGCGTTTTAGTAGCTAAATTCTTGGCCTGTCATTGCTCATTAAAAGTGCTTTTGTATGGGTGGAAATCAGATAAATATTGCATTTTATTAATATCAGCAGAGCTGCCTTACATGGGGCCTGTCTGTTGTGTAGCCTTGCCTTAATTTTTGTATTCATGCCCATCAGTGTGAAAGAAGCTATTTGCATATATATTTGCCTGTATATGCAACCACACTTAAGTTGTGGCCCTCAACATGTGCTGTGAGTATCATTGTGGCCCCCAGGACTTCCAAAGTTGAGTAGCCCTGACCTAGACTATCTGGCAGGTGTCTGTCTAACCTGCTCTTTCCGTGAAACCTGCACATAACTATCAGACACAATCGAGTATAAATAGGTGCTTGGATTTTGGAAGTGGCTGGTAGTGCTAGTGGGAGCATTTAAAAATAATGTTTTAATCCTTTTAAATGTGCTTTCCCAATAGAGGTGCTCCCAAAAAGTAATCTGTTGCAACTTCTAAATTTAAAGGTGTGAATGAATAAATTCCTCTTGTCCCCTTGTAGTCCTATTTTGTGTTTATATTAAAAGATTTGTCTACTTTGTAGCTTCTGTGCACTGCAGGGGTGGGGAATCTTTTTTGGGTTGGGGGCCCCTGGCCCACAGAAAAATCAGTTAGGGACTGCACACAAGTGAGAAGCAAAAAAGGGGGAAGAAAACTCCAAACCTATTCCCCTCGTACCCCAGAACCTCGAGGGCCCAGGCTAGTAGATTTTGTGCTCCAGCCCTGTAGAGGGGTGGCAGGGGACTAGAGTGCCAGCATGGGCTCCCCAATGCTAGGAGGGGAGCCCTGAGTCTCTAGGGCTCGATCCAGGCAAACCAGGGACCACATCCAGCCCCTGGGCCATAGGTTCCCCACCCTTGATATACTGGCAGCAGTTGTGATCAGTTGCCATGGTCGCTTAGAAGTAGCACGAGTATTTTTATTTTATTTTTTAAGAAGTTAACATGCCAGGTTTAAAGAAGTAAAATGCTGCAAAATGAGACTAGAGAGTAGAAAAGCGTTTTTTACCGTAGATGGAGGAGAGATGATTGAGGTCATACATAGTCATCTCTGTTGGACAGCCCAGGCTAGGGATCGGTGCCTGTCTTCAGTCTTATTTCTCAATGTCTTGACAGTGGTGTATCCACTGGGGAGATGAAGGTGAAAAGTAATGGCTGTGGTGGGAGAGAGGAAGAAGTCAGCACGGGCACAAATCTGAGACTCGAGGAGCATGGGAGGTTAGATAACAATTGCCAACTTCAGAGAAGTTATACAGATCTTGCCTTTTCATTTAAGTCTCCAGAAACTTATTTCCACACATGAACAGAGCTACTTTGATAAGTCTCATGATAGCGCTATATAGTTTTTCAGCATCTCCACTGGAGGTTGCTGTGAATGAATGTCTGAATTGTACTGCTAATAGAAAAAGTGGAAATAGCCAAACAGAGAAATGTCTGGTCTGTTTTCCCCTCCTTTCCAGCTCCGTACACAATTATCACTTTCCCGTTCCTGTTTGCTGTGATGTTTGGAGACTTTGGCCATGGAATCCTGATGACGCTAATTGCTGTGTGGATGGTGGTTAGGGAAAGTCGCATTCTGTCGCAGAAGAATGACAATGAGGTAAAGAGTTAGGCCAAACTCAGTTTGCTTTTAAAGCAGAGACCTAAATTGATTCTCTCTCTCTCTCTCTCTCTGCCCCAAACTACCAATAGTACAACTATTTTTTTCATGTAAAGTTTGTCAAACACAAGCAAACTGACAGCAAACAAAAGTCCATAGACCACAAGATGAGTAATGTCCTTTCTCAGAATTGTGGGGATTTCTTTTGGTTTGCATGTAAGTGTCTGAAGCAATGATTCAGACAGTGTGGTTTGATGGTTAATTGGTGAGGTTTTTGCCGCGGTGAGTGCTGGTTCCTTTGATAGGTGATTGTAAACAAGAGACTAAGCTCCAGTTGAGCTTGCTCTTGCTTATGGTCCACCATCCTAAACCTCCCCACAACATGGTTAAATTGGCCATGCTTGTTTAGGGCGTGGAGTGATGAAAAGAAACAGGTCAGCACTGAAACACGTTGGCAGAGCATGGGAGAAGTTTGCACCATACCTGCCCATGCTCTGAGGATCTCTGGAAAAATACTCCCTAATACCTGGTCACACTGAAAGTTAAGACATTTGATCAAAAGGGATATTTTCAGTACATCCCCTGAGCTGGGAGGTGTGACAGACAGACATGATACACGCGAATGGGCTGGCCATCGGTCCTCTGTGCTCAATTTGCATCCTCCTTGCAGTTGTAATTCCTGCATCCATCGTTCATGCCGTGGAGTATCAAAGGCCCACTGGATTTCATCCAAGACTGGCAGCCCTTCCCTGGAATTGGATGGTTTCAGCCTGTCTGTGTGTGTTTCTCACAAACTTCATTTTTTTTTAAACAGATGTTCAGTACCATTTTTAGTGGCCGGTACATCATTCTGCTGATGGGAGTGTTCTCCATTTACACCGGCCTTATCTACAATGACTGCTTCTCCAAAGCACTTAATATGTTTGGCTCGTCATGGAGCGTCCGGCCGATGTTCTTGAAAGGCAACTGGACGTAAGTTCTTAGGTGCTTGAAAAGCAAAAGTATGGGGCAAATTCCATATGCCAAAATCAGTTTTGTAATCGCATAGGAATGTATGCATGGCAGGCCCCTCAGCAGTGTTATTTCTTTAGGAAACGTTTCCTAGGAGAGCAAAGCCCCATGCTATGTAAAGAAATACAAAGATTTGAATGGCCTTTGGATAAACGGTGTGTCAGTTGGCTCTTCCTGGTCTAGCTCCCCAGAGGCACTATTAAAAAGCATGGAAAGAGGCAAATTGCGTGGTGTGTTTCTCCCTTCCTCCTGTGTGTGCATTTTGCTTCCACCCAAAATAGTTATTTAGCTATGTCTTGCCAAAGAACCCGGGTATTCCTTCATGCAGGCTGTTGAACTGAGGTGCTTCCCCTTTGAGGATCAGAAGGAAGCCAGTGATGTGTGTGCTCCGGTTTGTTGAGGGCAATTTTTACAGTTTATGAAGCTTGATACCTCTTTATACCCAAACAGAGAAGACTTACTTCGGGACACCCCTGTGCTGCAGCTGGACCCTGCTGTGCCAGGAGTCTTTGGTGGACCGTATCCATTTGGCATCGACCCAGTAAGAGTTCTTTCTTCTAGTACATGTGGCTTATGTAGCTGTAACTTTCTGGTGCACAGTTAAATAAGCTAAAGGCTTGTATGTTCTCTTAGCAACTTCGGGGCAGTAACTGTTAAGGGAAAATACTGAGCTGGGGGGTGAAGTAGGTTCCATTAGTGAGATCTGAGACGTCACCTATTAGTATAATGGCTTAGGGTATGGGAATGGTGACCAGTAGGATTTCTGAAGATCTCTGACTGACCCCTACCCTAGCTGTTTAGGACTGCAGTATCCCACTGAATTGGCTTTAGGCGTGAGACCCTGTCATGCATTTCCTAGTGAACTTGTAGCTGCTTCTGCAAAAAGACACCCAGGTGCCTTCGAGGTGTGTGGTTCTGGATAACACTAGAATCTTTCTAAGCTACCCCAATTCAGAAAACTGCCCTTAAAACAGATTTGAATTTGAATTGATCCTGTGTAGACATTAGAGGGGCATGCTGGTGGTAGGGGCCAAATGAGGAACGGCAAGGTTTTTTTTCCAGGCAACATCGTAGATCTGAGAGCTCAGTTTTTCTCTTGCCACAGCTGATCACTTTGAAAGCGAGCCAGGTACAGACCTTTCTCTGCTTGAGTGCTGATAAAATCAGCTGTTACAAGGGAAAATAAATCACTGAATTTAAAGTTGGCTGGTAGGTGAAGAAACAACCGACGATGGAATGTTTTATTTAAAAACATGTCTGTTTATAGTGTCTGTCCCGTTAAACTGGACAGCACAAGATAGTTAAACATAAGTAAATGCTACTTTGGTTCATCTGTCTTCCTGACACTCACTGATTCAGACTGAATCCATGCTGTTTGTGACAGATTTGGAATATTGCCAGCAACAAGCTGACTTTCCTCAACTCCTTTAAGATGAAGATGTCTGTGATTCTCGGCATCGTCCACATGCTTTTTGGTGTCACACTGAGCCTTCTCAACCACATGTAAGTGTTCTGCTTTTACTAGGACATGCACTTCAGAAGAGTCTTCCTTGTATACAAGTGCAGAATGTCTGTATTAGACTTATCAGAATGAGATTAGACTCTTAGGTTTTCACATCTAACTCCTTGTGGCTCTTGCAGCAGCTTTGAAGATGGAGAGAATTCAACGTGAGTTACTTCATTAGTCAGGAAACACTGCATTATGGTTATTTCTCCTCCTAGGAGACTATATCTATGTATCAATTACAGCTCTTCAAAAATTTAGCATTAAATATGGTTAGAAATATAGAAACTCACAATTCATTTGTTTTTACAACTCTTCCTTTTGCATGATCCATTGAAAGTTAATGTCACTATTTTGGTCTGTATTAAGGTTCTCTCACTCCAGTCAAATATGGTAATGTTCTAACATCTGTCAAATTCTAATTCTTTCTCCGTAGCTATTTCAAGAAACCATTGAACATCTACCTTGGATTTATTCCTGAAATGATTTTCATGTCGTCATTGTTTGGCTATCTTGTTATCCTCATTTTCTACAAGTGGTCTGCTTATGATGTTCACACTTCAAAGGATGCTCCAAGCCTTCTGATCCATTTTATCAACATGTTTCTCTTTTCCTATAATGATCCCAGTATCAAGATGCTTTATAAAGGACAGGTATGTGGTCTCACTGTAGTGAGACTGGATGACGGATGATTTGTAATACTAGAGAGCCTTTTGCTCCATAGAGCTTAAATTCTGAAAAGGAGAGAAAACATGAAAAAAGAACAGAGTGATTTAGCGTAGCACGCTTTATCCTGAAGCATCCCGAGGCATTAGTGACGCTCTTTGTGCATTATGTTCTCAGAAAGGCGAGCAAAGAGTAACTAATCCAGGTGTACCTGAAAGTAACTACAGGTTGGACCTCCCTGGTCCTGCACCCTGGGGACAAGGGAGTTTTCCAGACCAGGGAGATCTGAGAAGGGGGCACCAGCCTCCCTGCTGGGCTTCTCTCCCCAGCCTTCCAGCCCCACCCAAGCTCGTGGTGGCCTCACCGTCTTCCCTGTCCCGCCAGCTGTGGGCTTCGGAGCTCTGCTGCCCCTCTGGTCCCACCAGCTGGCTCCACTCAGAGCTGCCAGTGACCTCTGCCACTAGGGTTCTCTAGGCCCACAACAGCTGTGCTCCTGCCAAACCACGGATGTTGCTGGACCAGAAAGTCCTGGACCACAGAGGTTCAACTTGTAGCAGATTTTGAGCATGATCAAGACACCAAATACCCTCTCCTATTTTTCATGGTACTTTTATGGGTTTTATAGGAACCAGAAGAGATTAGGACTTACTGTCCATTTCAGTCGTCTAGTGCTGTCTGACTCTGTTCTAAGACTCTTGTCTAGGACAGACTTAGGAGAGAGTGCCAGCTTCCACACAGCTGCTGCATGCAAGTCTACTTGGATTTCCCATAGTCATCAATGGATGACTACACCTCCCCTTGCTCAGGGTGCACAGTGCGATGCGAATGCAGCTTGAGGTGTTGCAGCTTCAGACAAATAAGAACGGTTCAGTCTGCTGGTTTGGGATGTGATTGTTCTAATAGGATCTGTGTGCCGGGGAATCTGGGAGTTAGGTTGCGATATGCAGGAGCCCTGTTCTGTGAAGCACCACAAGGGGAAGGGGGCATGCACATCTCACCTCGTACCATGTCTCTGTTTTTTCCACAGCTAGGGCTTCAGTGCTTCCTGGTGGTTGTTGCGCTGCTGTGTGTGCCATGGATGCTGGTAGTTAAACCCTTGGTCCTTCGCCATCAGTATTTAAGGAGAAAGCATTTGGTGGGTGACTCTTCTGGTTATTTCTGATTGAAACTATTAGTTCAAAAGCTGCAGGCTCCATCTTGATATGTTTATATAGGCTCACATTGAGTCACGTTCTCGGAAGCCCCTTTGCGCGCACACCTACACAAAGACAAGTGGGTTTTTGTCGGACACAAGGTGATGCCTGCCTCTGAGATCTGGATCTGCTCACCTACACAAAGACAAGTGGGTTTTGTTGGACACAAGGTGATGCCTGCCTCTGAGATCTGGATCTAGCTCTGATTCTGCACTAGAAAACCTGTGCGTGGATACTGTTGTAAAATGAACCCCTCCTGCTTGGGTACTGTCAGCCCACGTAGGAGCGCGGAAGCCATCGATGGTTGAACTCGTTTCTGTGGCTTGGTTGCCAACGTGCAGAAGCAGAGATGTGTCTGTTAGTGAATTGGTTGACAATAACGTCCTCAACCTGATTAAAGGAGCTTGGAGATGAAAATGAGACTAATTTTTGCTTGTGAATGTGGGAGCTTTTCTCTTAGGTTTCCTTTGTCTTTGGTGGCTATGCAACTGTGCTTGTGTATGTACAAAATGTAGGAACCTGGCATACATGCACTGAGGCTACCTGAAATTCTCCCTGCATGTACGGCAGACAACTGTTAGGATGTTACAGTCAGTCAAAATACAGTTCAGTTAAAGACACTCCCTCTCCCTTCTCTGACCATCTTCCATCCTCCCATGTCCCCTCCATTCGTCTCCCTTTCTCTTTTGTTTTTCTTCCTCTTTCTCCTTCCTTCTTCCATTCACTATCAGGAAGGGCAACCCGTGGCGGGCCAAGTCAGCACAGTCCAGAACGAGCAGGCACTAGAGGCAGCAGCGGCTGCAACAGTGAGTGGCTTTAAAATCACGTGACGGATTTAAAGATGGGGAGTTGGTTTAAAAAAAAAAAAAAATTACACTCCATAAATTCTGAAATAGTGTCTACATATCTGTACTTCCTACGAGATAATGAGATCCCCTGTGGGGAAGCCGATCCTGTCTCAGCACGATAAAGTCCAGTATCCTCAATATAATTGTGATGAATTCTTAAATAGTTGCGTACACAAATGAAGGAGAATTACCTTGTAACCCTTCTCTGAAAAGTGCTGGAGAGATTCCTAGCCCACAAGAATGCCTAGTCTTCCTACCTCCAAGATGAAATCTCCTTGTTTTACATTCTTGCATATTTGTTTTTATAAACTAGAAACTAGATTTGACCTCTTCTGTTTGAAACCTTTCTGTTTACATTCCATATTCCAAAAAGTCATACATATGTGTGGTCCTCTCACCAGCACTAACCCTATGGCTTCCCATCAAGAATTATTAGATTTTTTTGAGGGGGGCGGCTTTGTGGGGACTTGCAGAGCCTGATGTTCTAATGAAATGGCTGTGTCCTAGACAGAGCTAGGTGTAAATTTATTAACTACCACCCATGGCCAAAGCCCACTGCTAACTAGTGCATTAGGCAACCGAAAGGACACTTTTCCATTTTTTGTCACGTTTTTTAAATTTGCCTTTTTATCCAAAGAGACTAAATTATGCCAATAAACGATCTGAATTGGATTTTGTGCTCAGTTTTATAATAAGTGACCAACTTAAAATCAGGTTTAGTCTTCAGATATTAAATAACCTTACAAAAATCTTTCAGGAGTGATAAGAAAAATCTAATAAATTGCATTCTTTTGAGTGTGTGATACATCCATTATATTAAGTGCATAAGGCCAGCTGTGAATGAGGCTTTTTGCACACTTTTTCTAATAGTCATATCCAGTGCACAGCAGAGGGTCAGATCCCCATGTGATGGGAAAATGTCATGGCTTTATTGATAGGAGTTGCGCTAAAGCAGTTGACACCAGCCCCAAAGAACATACATTAGCCAGGTGCATGTGAGAAGGCTGTATGCTAATCATGTGGTGATGAACTCTCAAGCACAAATCTCTAGTGACTAGAAGTGTGACCAGCAGAACACCACTTAACATTTGCAGATTTGGTAATTTGTAACAATTTGATGCCAGTTTTAAAAAAATGGAATCCAAACACAAGTCTTATCACGCTTTCCAAGAAATATACAGCTTACTATCTTAATGTGTATTGCTTGCTTCTGTCTTTTCTTTTTATTAAAGTAAGCTATCTGGAGCCTATTTGAAGGTAATCTGATAAGAATTAGATAAATCCATTCCAAGTTGGACACCTGGCCTGACAATAAATTGTATCAAGACAAAAACAAGGCTTTCAAAACCAGCCTCTTATAACAAGTGCGTTATACTAATAATTGGTGCTTTAATGTGAAAAAACCAAGCATGTTATCTGCATTGATGAACTATGAAAGTAGAGATGGAGGACACAAAGTTTGATCTTTGGTTTTCATAGTCATACTTAAATTATAGCATGTTAAAGTTTTGATTTTAAAAGCCATGTTTACATTCCATACCCCCAAAATATTTGTGCACACACTGAAATGCTTCTGACACCTAGATATGATAGAGGCACCTAAATAAGTCCTATCTAATTAACTTTTCCTGTTCTATGGGAACTTTTCCAAAATCATTTTTACTTTAGGAACACCTATAACTGCTAAATGCACCACTATCTAAGGGCAGGTGCTAACTTTGTAGGTCAGAGTGTATATTGACTGCATTTCAGGTTTGCACCCTTCAGCCCTATCAGGTTTTGCAGTTCTGAACATACAGAGTTGAGTCTCAGATTTCCAATAAAAAATTTTCCTCTGTTGTTGGATGTTCTTGAATGAAAATAAATGGAAAAAATGCTTATAGCGTGGGAAATTGGCTGCTGGCTGTTTAGAATCCTGAAAATAAAGTTAAGTGCAAATTAGATTTTAATTGTCTTTCTACATTCCACTTGCAGTGCATGAAAGCTTTATTGTAAGAGAGCCTCTTGAACAGCGAATGTCTTCATTGCTGATGTTGGCTGTTACGTGGAAGTATAATCCTGTAGCAAGTTTAATGTAACTGAACAGGCCTAATTTCCAAAATGAAGCAGTCCTAACTTGATCAGATAAGACCAAATGAGTTAGAACAGAGTCTCCTTTTTAAGTATGACCTTTAAAGTTTGAGAAGACACAACCATCCTTTGGTTCCTCAAGTACTGAATGTCTAAACAAATGCCTATAATAGAATCATTTGCACAGTTCAGGACTTCCATGTAAGGGAAGGTCTGATTCTTCTTCGAGGATGTCCCCGCGGGTGCACCACTATGGGCGCTGGGCTTGCCCCAGCGCCGCAGACGGAAGCTTGTTAGGAGCAGTATTCGGCCGGACCGCTCATGTGCCGTGGGGCTCGCGGCTTTCGCGCTCTAAACGAATGCCTAGAATGGAATCATTTGCACAGTTCAGGACTTCCATGTAAGGGAAGGTCTGATTCCCACCCCAATGCCATTCCTCCCACTGTGCGTTGTGGACATGCCTGGTACAAATTGGTGTGGTGCAAGGGTATAAATATTGGATATTGGCATATGGGATAAAGCTGCTTTGTGACTTACCAGTAAATGGTTTATTTAATATACAGAAGTATTTGCCTTTCTGGCAGATTCCAGGAGTTCCAAAAGCTATTTGAATTTTTTTAACATTGTTGTACAAACTCCCTCAATTTCATCCAGTGTTCCACTTTGAGAGTCTATAACTCTTGGTCAAAGGTGAAGATGTTTTATGTCAAATTTTATGACATCAAAAATCAATTCAAAGAGGTTTTATTGTTTTTCAGACCCAGCAGTTGTAACCACATGTCTCCCACTCAAGCAGGAACAGCAGTATACTCCATTTGTGAAACTTGATTGTGCCTTGACTCTTACCATTTAATATGAGGCTTTCTTTGAGCTGCTGCTGCTTTCTGGAGGTGTCCAAAATGCATTCTCGGATCCCCTCCAAGTGTCACGCTAACCCACAGCAACACTCTGCTCTGTCTCTTTGCCCACCTCTTAGGGAACTCACAACTTCGGTGGGATCCGGGTGGGCAATGGACCGACTGAAGAAGATGCAGAGATAATTCAACATGACCAGCTTTCTACCCATTCTGAAGATGGAGATGAGGTAAGCTTCCAATCGGTCTTAACTTGGCTGCTCTAAGATGAAAGGGGCTGTTTCCTGCTTAATATATTGACCAGTGTCTAAGATCCTAACTTGGCTAAAACTGCAGCAATTTTAGATCTGGTCTTAATTTCCTGCTTCCTCTTGCTGCCTTTCACTTATCCTCCCGAATGAAAATTCTCTGCACAGGTCAAGGAATGGCTCTTTCAGTCTTAACTCTCAGTACAAAGAGTGGACATCTGATAGCCTAACTTTTTATCCCTTTAGGCTCCATAGTAAAATCTAGGCAGTTGTTAGACACACTTTATCCAGTTCAGGCTCCAGTCAGAATAGTAATTGTGTTTATTATTTGAGTCGCCCTATTTATTTATCTCTGGCATTATAAGCCTGTGTTAAAAAATCCAAATGCACTCAAGTCTTGTTTCAAATTCACTTTGATTAACATGTTTCCCTGATTGCCTTGCCTCTTCTAACACACATGGGGAGAAAAAGGAAAAGTCGTGATTTCTCATCTGTGGGATTTTCTGCTGCCTGTTTGGATAGGGTAGTAGACTGTTGTTGCCATGCATTACACAGCCTGCACGATGTATGCTGTGCGCTACCGTTCAAATATGCCATGTTAATAAGGGATTTGCTCAACTCGTGTTCATGACTAATGTTTATGATTATGGGACTCTGCACTAAATATAAATTTATGTTTACAAGCATGCAGAGGATGAGGTGGTAAGATGACAGCCAGCTTTGCATTCATATGTATTTGTGCCATTTCTCATTGATGTAAAAATCATCTGCTGAATTAACACAGTTTTTTTTTTTTTTTCTGCTATGTGACTTGTTTTTCCATACTAGTTATTTACATGTCACGAGCTGTTTCTGGTATTCCATACAGCATCATCTCCATTTTAAAATCCCTTTTCTGAATTGCTGCCTCTCTTTAAATTGTTTGCTTTTTTATCTCCCTTGATTTTTAGACTGCAAATCCTGCACAGTTGTCAATCAAAAGATCTACAAGGGCCTTCTAAATGTTTATATTGTAGAGTTGCTGGAGAAGCAAGACTTCGTTATGCACTTGGCCTAAAAAGATACAGCAGTCTTTGGGAATGTCTGGGTTTTATGCAAACTACTTATAGATTCTCTTCACCTTCCCCTCCTTCCCTCCCCCTCCCTCCCCCC